TTCTGAGGCAGTATCACTATGCAAGTAGATTGTCCAACCTTCCTTCTGAGGAGTGGCTAAAATTTTTAAATCAGTTTAAAATATAAATAATCCATTAAATGTTAACAGAGATAATATATTTTCATGAAAAGTAAGTATTTTCCAATATAAAACAAGGAAATGAGGTGAATGGATCATTTTACATTTTCATAAATCTCTATGTGTCAATAGAAGACTTCTGGATTCTCATATCTGCTTCTGCACTCAATCTGTTATTTTGGTTGCGGTGTATACTAAAAAAAATCCAGCATCACACAAATAAGAAGTTGGAAAAATGGAGTATTTTTAATAGCCTTTCCAAATAATTGTGAATGCTCATCTTTGATCTTTACTAAAGCTAAAGGAGTGATATTTCTTAAAGGATAGTTGCAGTCAGAAACCCTATTATGAATATTTTATGTTCTGTTCATTAACATCCATAGGTCCATCTTGCACATTGAATGAATTCTGTACAAATGCATGAGTTTGAGGTGTTGTTTTTTTTTTTTAAGTGATGCACTGGGTAGGCAGATCTTCCACTGTTGACACATTTCATACCAAAAAGTCACATTTGTTAGTATTACCACTTATCTCAGCAGAAAAATTTGTACATTTTGGAAAGCTATCAAACTTGTAGTGGATACAAATTTCCCAATATTCTAATCTCTTGACAGGCTACATTTTATCATTGGCAACATTACTGTCAGATGGTTTCCTTTAAGTGAGTCTTATTAGTTCTTTTTCAAGAAAGTGCTATATATCCAAGGTAATATTTCTGTCAAACTTTCTTTCAAGGAAAAATAAATGATATTACATTTTAAAAAAAGACTAGTTCAGCTCACACAAATTATTCTATTTGAGGCAAATATCACACTTCAGAATGTAGGAGAAATGCTTTATACATACCTCCTATTTCATCACATGTTATTATTGTTAGGTGCTTGAGTTGGGTTCAACTCATAGTGACCCTATGTACAACAGAATGAAACATGGCCCAGTCCTGTGCCATCCTTACAATAGCTGCTATACTTAAGTCCATTGTTGCAGCCACTGTGTCAATCCATCTTGTTGAAGGTCTTCTCCTTTTTTGCTAACCTTCTATTTACCAAGCATGGTATCCTTCTCCAGCAATTGGCCTCTTCTAACAACGTGACCAAAGTACTATAGATGAATCTGGCCATTCATCACATAGTATATGAAAAGATATGGACTTGACGATGGTGATTTAATAAAGTAAATAAATTCTAATGCTTCAATCAGTTCATATTTAAATGAAGCTGGGTTTTTTTTGTTTGTTTGTTTGATTTTGTTTTTCCTACAAGTAGATGATGGGGAAGAACACAATTACTGTTATAGTTTGATGACACATCCTTGATTTTTGCTAAGTTCCCCAGCTGTGCAAATATCAATACAGGGAGAAAGACTGATCATTTCTTAGTACTGTTGTGAAAATAATTTTGATTGCATGCATCTTTGAAAGGATTTCAGTGACTCAGAGTTGCACAGATCACACTTTGAGAACAGCTGTTCTGAGTAAATCAGGATGTCCCAAGCCTCTTTGCTCCTCTTCACTTCCCACAATCCCTTTCTGAGATGGAGTCTATGCCTCCCAAAACTTACCTTAGACATCTTCACTTGGATTTTTCTAGAAGATAATTTACTCCCTGGAAATTTAATCCCAGAGAGTGTCCTCAATCAGAATACTGAGGTGGAGGGAGCAACGTTTCCCTTTTGGAACTGGGAATATTTGTGTCTGGAGGCACCAGATGAAGATTCACTCATGATGTGTTTTGGTTTTTTTATATCCCTGCTTCATGTATATCCAAATCCCAAACAGCTGGAAATCTGATGTAATCTGTGTGAGAAATAATAAGAGCCCCTTAATTATAAATGGGTCTAAGGCACCTGACTTCAGGTCCATAAAACATCAAGAACAGTGCTATCAATAGAACTGTGATGAAGGAATTATGTATCTGTGCTATCCAATATAATAGCCACTAACCATGTGGCTACTGAGCACTTGAAATGTGCCTAGTATTACAGAGCAACTGAATTTTTAGTTTTACTTTATTAATAGCCACACCTGGCTAGTAGCTACTATATTTGATTGTACATATCTAGAGTGTTCTGAATTTTCAATGTCCCCAAAAAGGTACCATGTGATTTATAGGTTGAAGTAATTATAAAGTAGTAACGATCTTTATTTAAAAGCCATAGATTGGTCCATGTGTATATCCTTAGACTATCCTTAAAATACAGAATACCTATAAAATTAATAGTTATTTACAAATGCTGGTGAGGTTGTGGAGAGATTGGAACTCTCATACACTGCTGGTGGGACTGCAAAATGGTACAACCATTATGGAAAATGGTATGGCATTTCCTTAGAAAACTGAAAATAGAAATACCACTTGATCCAGCAATTCCATTACTAGGAATCTATCCTAAAGAGGCAAGAGATAGGACACAAACAGACAGATGAACACTCATGTTCATCACAGCACAATTCACTATAGCAAAGAGATGGAAACAACCTAAATGCCCATCAACAGACGAAAGGATGACCAAATTATGTACATTCACACAATGGAATACTATGCAATATTAAAGAATAATGAAGAATACACAAATCATCTCACAACATGGATGCATTTGGAGGATATTATGTTGACTGAAATAAGTTAATCAGAGAAGGACAAATATCATAGAGCCCATTCTTGTAAAAAGTCAAGGAAAGGTTTACTTAGGGAAGGAAACTCAACTTTGTTGGTTACTGGGGATGGGAGGGAATGGGAGGGAAAATTTTGGACTAGTTGGGGGTCACACGTGGATTTAGGTGAGGGGAGGGATGGTATGGGAAGAGTCTGTGACCAGAATGATGACATTGGGGAAAGGAAACACACTGAAACATGCACATAAGATATAGACAACAAAGGTAAACACTAGCATATGCACAATACACCAGGCTAGAGATAAATGCATAGACAAGTGAGAAGATCAGGTGGGGATCAGCAAACAGGAATATACCCTAGACCAAGGATAGATTTGGCTGAAAATAATCTTACATATGTACTTGTGGTATGAGATTAGCCACACACATTACAGAAGCAACAGAAGACAAGAGTTGGAGTAACCTCTCAGAGTCAACCAAACACCTCGAGAGAATCACTGGGCCTGCCATCTCAGGACCATAGTCTCAGGGGAAATCATGCTCAATTGGCACAACACAGTACATTAAAATCTTGTTCCACAACCAACTTTGGTGAGTAGCATCTGGAGTCTTAAAAGCTTTCAAGCAGCCATCTAAGATGCAACTATTGGTCTCCTCTCATCTGAATCAAAGAAGAGTGAAGAATATCAAAGGCATTCAGAAACAATTAGTCCAAGAAGGATCACGAGGACCTCAACCTTCAACTTGAAGATCAGAAGAATTAGATGGTGCCTGGCTACCGATGCCAACCACTCAGAAAGGGATCAAAACCAGAGATCCTGGATAGAGTGGAAGGAAAAGTGTGGAACAAAATTCAAAAACAAAATTGACAATTGTTGGTCAGATAGAGTCCGGTGGAACCCCCAAGACTATGGCCCCAGGTTACCCTTTGGGCCTAGAAATGGGCTCAATCCCATGGATTGGCTCTCAACCCAACAGCAGAAAGACCTACATACAGAACATGTACCCCAGGGAGATGTACCCCTTATAGCAATCAGCCATGAAACACCAGAGAGGCAGCATTCACACAGAGGGAAATCTAGACAGACAGGAATGCATAGTTAAGAAGGGCACAGGGAGAGGTAGTCACAGGGATGGGAGGGGAGGAGAGTTTGTTATGGTTGGGGATGGTAATTAGGGTATGAAATCAAATGTGTATGAACTGTTGAATGTGAAACAAATTTTGCTCTGTAAATTTGCACCCAAAATACAATAATTTTTTTTTAAAAAATACTAAGTTATTTAGCAACTAGAGTGTACAGACATAGCCAAAACAGGATTTATCAACTCAAGAGTACAAATGTTAAAAAATGCCCATCACCGTTGCCAATCCTTGCTTGTATTTCATTGAGACTCTTCATGTCATTATTTTCTTTAATCTTAAGAGGACTTAAGCCTTCATTTCTTCATGGGAAAGTGTTTATTGATACTACACCTACCAAATGCCCTGTAAGTCCTGAAGCTTTGATTTTAAAATTCTGAAATGAGACTCACAGGTTAGAACTGCACCGCCCTAGAACTCTTCATCGATTTATTTACCTACTGCTGCCCTTTCTCCAAAATTCAAGCCATTTTATTTTCCTCTCACATCTTTCCCTCGCATCATTTGTACCTAGGTGAAAATATACATGAAATTTTTATACGTATGAAGTGCAGGATTCTCTAAACATGACCCAAGATGAAGAAATTAATTATAGTGGATTCACAGCTTCCAGGGACTTCAGTAAAATCCTCATTCTCCTTAGATACGGGGAAAGGCACCTCCAGAGAAAAATGCTAAATTATCATTAGGTGACAGGCTTGTGAATGCAAAAGAACAATTTGCTCTTTTAAGGTCTAGTCATCAGAGCACAGCTGAGGAATAAGATATTTCCTGGAAGTGTCAGGCATCCTTCTCACTGCCACCTGAAACAGCTGCCCTTAAGAGAAGGCTGCTTGTGTTCTTACAGACTAAATAAGCGCCAGGAGTCTTGATACTGCTCCTTCCTGCCTTCTGCCATCCTCAGCCCCTCCCAGCCCCATAAACACATACCAAAAAATACCCACCTCTTTTCCAGAGCTCTTGCTGGTTTGTTCCTGGAGCTGCAAAGCCTCTTTCTCCAATACTTCCCCTCAAGATAGGTACAAAGGGAAGCAATAACCTTGCTTCTCTCTGAGGAGAGAATTTTGGGCAGGGGTTCCCATCAGCTCATTCAGCTCCAAAAAGTTATGGAGCTCAGAGTCCTCCAGGTGCTTCTCACCGGTATTGCAGGGCTCTTTCCAGCAGAGTTGTTCAGATCTCCGCATCTGCCAGGCAGCTCTCCCCCTGGGCTCCTGCTTGCTGATGAAGTTTAAAGAGGTCCTGTGCCACCTCCCTATAGTCATCTGAGTAGTCAGACATCTCCTGGTTTTCATCTTTGCCTAGAAATGGAAGTCCTTTCTGACATCCTCAGGTGAGTGAATTTAACAAGAAATTTGCATACTTTCATTAAGAACACTTTAAAATGCTGAGAGATGCAAAGGAAGTATAAATAAATGGAAAAAACATGAATAAATATTCTTGAGTAAAAAAGACTGAACATCACAGATTTTTCCAAAACTGATCTATAAATTTTTATAATAAAAATGATGTTGACAGATTTAAAAAAAAATAATTTTATTGTAATATGAGTGAAAGTTTACAGAGCAAATTCATTTTCCATACAGCAGCTCATATGCATTTTGCTTCATAACATTGACTGCAATCCTCAAAATGTAAAAGCTCTCTTCCCAGTTCCTCCCTCTTCCCTGTGTCCTTCTTTCCTATGCTTTCCTGCCCCTTGAGCTATCTCCCTGTGCAAATACTGCCCTTCTGATCGCCTATGATTGACTGTTCTAATGAATGCATCTACCTGATGTAAATGTTTACCTTACGTCTACTATTTGGCTGGAAGCCACAGAGTGAGTTCAATTCCAGGCTGAAGAGTAACTAGGGGCCAGTCTAGAGGTAACTAACTTGTAACTGGGGGTTCCATCAGGCTCTGCCAGGCTCTGTAAGCCTGGTCTTTTTTATGGTTTTGAGTTCTGTTCCACATTTTTCTCCCACTTTATACAAAATCTCCTGCTCTGATCCCTTTCTGAGTGGTTGACAGAGGTAGCTGGGCACCATCTCATTCTTCTGGCCTCATGGCCATACAGGCTGAGGTTTCCACGGTCCACTAGTCCCTTGGAATAATTCTTTCCATATATCTTTGGTTTTCTTCATTCTTCTTTGCTCCAGACAAGGAGAGAACACTGTTGCATCTAGATGCCCACTTACAAGTTTTTAAGACTCCAGTTGCTATTCATAAAAGTACTTTAAAAAAAAGAAAAAAAACTCACTGCCACTGAGTCAGATCTGACTTACAGCAATCCCTCCTGGGGTTTCCAAGGCACTATTGCTACAGAAGTAGATTGCCCAATCTTCCTTCTGAGGAGTGACTGGTGAGTTTGAACCACTGAGCTTAATATCCTCTGTGACCATGTTCCTGAGCCCACAGGTCATTTTCTTTAGGTGGTTCAAATGGTTAACTTGCTCAGCAGTGAACGTTAAGATTGGCAGTTTGAGTCCACCTAGAAGTGCTTCAGAAAAAGGACTGCAATCTACTTCGAATTTTTGTCTTTTAGTTTACTGGTGTTTCCCAGATCCTACATACCAAACAAGAGCAAACTCATTGTCGTCAAGTCAGATCCGACTCATAGCGGCCCCTCCTTGGGTTTCCGAGGCAGTTATTACTACAGAAGTAGATTGCCCAATCTTCCTTCCAAGGAGTGGCTAGTGGGTTTGAACCTCCAGCCTTCTGGTTAGCAGTCAAATGCCTTAGGCACTATCCCAACAGACTTTCCAGATGCTAAATAGTGTGTGTCCTATAGCCAGCACTCAACAAATGTCAATAGAAAGGATGATTAGTATGGTGTAGATCACCTCCCGATTCTACACAATGTCTTAATTACTGAAGCTTCAGAACAAATGCTACTATTCTGTGGCAGCTGGTGTACAACATCTACTCACATTGGCATGTGAAAAAATCTTGTATCGCTCAGTCCCACACAAAACAGTGGTCTCATGCTGTAGAATAAAAGAATCATGAACAAATTGAGGTACTAACATTTTAAGTACTGACACTCTGAATAGCCCATTGTAATCTCAAAATATTCAAATCCAAAAAAAATCCGCATAACCTAGTCTTATCCTCTCTGTCCCAATTCCTGCCCCATGTTAGGGGCCCCAGAGGGTCTTACCTTTAGAAGGAATGAGAGACAAATCAGAACCCTTGGCATCATTCACATCTGCAGAAGAACAGAAATAGATCTGGTCAGAGCACACAGGAGATAAGACTAGGAGAATAGGAATTTTGGAGTTAGGAGGCTCCCCCATGGGCTCCCGTCTGTTTATACTGTCTCAAGGGTCTCAGGATCACCCTCCTTCCCTCCATACGTACCTGGAGCTTCAACATAGCTCCTCCCTCCTTTTCTACCTGTGGGAAGAAAGCATTCTGTGAGAGACTAGGGAGGGGGCAGGACCATGAGGCTAGTCCTCAGGTAAGTTTCCAGAACTGTGACTACAGACCCAGGGTAGAACAAGCAAAGATATGCAGGGACTAGAACAACAACCCTCCTGGAAGTTTCTCCTTAGCAGGAAACTTCTCCTGTGACCTTAGCCTATTGGAAATCAGAGCTTGATCACCAGAACCATTAAGGTGTAAGATTTGTCCTTCATTTTCACAGATGCTTAACAAAACAGTGTTGGCACAAAGGTCCCCAGACTGGGTCAGCACATGTGTGGATGGTGACCCCTAAAGAGGCAGGAGATGGCAAATTTCCTACTTGAGACCAGAAACCCACCAGTGAGACAAGAAAATTCAGACCCCACCCCCACCTCTATCTGTGATCTTCCTTCTCCACCTCACAGCTCCAGACACCACAGCTACAAGGACCACAGCTCCAAGAAGAACCAGGCCAATGATTCCCATATTGGAGGTGGTGGGCAGTTCTGGAAAGAGAAGGAAGGTGAGGAGCCCTAACTCCTTGGAGATCTCCAGAAGGATTTCTCTTCCCTCTCCTTACCCCATCTCAGGGTGAGGGGCTCGGGCAGTCCTTCATGCTGCATGCGACATGTATATCTCTGCTCCTCTCCAGAAGGCACCACCACAGCTGCCCACTTTTGGTAGCTCCCATCTCCTGCTGGCCTGGTCTCCACGAAGTCCATGTCCTGGGTCTGGTCCTCCCCATTCCGCTGCCAGATTATGGTGATCTCCGCTGGATAGAAGCCCAGGGCCCAGCACTTCAATATGACCTCATGTTCAGAAATGTGGGATCTGGTCACATGTGTCTTTGGAGGCACTGCCGGGAAGGGTCAGACATTTCAGGAACTCTGAATTATATCCCATGAGGCAACTGAGCAGAGCTCAAGTGATCATGCTGAGAATGGACAGGACAACTGGGGTGGGGGAGGGAGTGTAAAACCCAGACACTAGCCTGGTCCAGGGATCTGGGATAATTTCCCATTCCATGAAAAGTACTAGAAAGAGGGTGAGGCAATCCACAGCAGGAAGTTCTAAGTGTCTGATGGGGAGAATAGAGACTTCTAGCTATGATGTAAGTGGAGGCCAAGAAGTTCAGAAAAGAGAATCAGACCTCCACTGTGTGTGCTGCAGAAAACAAGGCTTGAGAGAGAAACTCTCTCATAGGGTTCCAAGGTTGATTCCAGTATCAAAGAGAACTGCTGATCAACCATGGAATCATCTCCCCTACTATACTCTGAGACAGCAGATTCCTTCACTGTCTCTGAGAGAATGAAAGTTTGTCTGAGCAAGTCACTCTCTAGTACAGGATGTGGAAATGTGGCTAACTCCTCACTCTGGACACCCACGGGAAGGGAGTATTCTGGCATCTATCCTAATCCACCCCCTCCCCCTTTGAAGAGGCCTGCAAGGGAGACACAGTCCCAGCTCAAAAGAAGTTCCTGGAAGCGCCCATCATGCCCTTCTACCTGTGCGCAGCAGCGTCTCCCTCCCATTCTCCAAGAACCTGCGAAGCGAATCCAGGCAGGTGCCCTCCAGGTAGGCCCTCTGGCTCTCTGCCACATGGTCCTCTTCCATCTTGCGTTGGGTGATCTGAGCGGCACTGTCCGCTGCGGTCCATGAGCGCAGATCCTCGTTCAGAGCGAGGTAATCCACGCCATCATAGGCGTACTGACTGTAGCCGCGGAGGAGGCGCCCGTCTGGTCCTATGTCACAGCCATACATCCTCTGAAAGGTGTGAGACCCTGCCCCGTCCTTGTAGTCAGCGCTGTCCCTCCCGATGAACCGCGACCCCGGAGTCAGCCCCGTCCCCGTGACCTTAATGGGCGGTGATTATTCAGAGTCCGTTTGGGTCTAAACTGAAAACGACACCTGAACGAGTCTCCGCAGCTCTTCCTGGCTTAAAGGCCCAGGCGGGTCGCGCGGCCTCGGTGTGAAGTTCCGAGCCAGAGCTCCGGGCGACCCTCCGTGGCATCGAGGAGACTCGCGACCTGCACCCCGGCCCTAGCGTCACTCACCAGCCTCGCTCTGGTTGTAGTAGCCGCGCAGGTTGCGGAGGCACACACGGTGACTCTGTACGCGACTCTTGGCGTACCGTGTCTCCTGGTCCCAATACTGCGGCCCCTCCAGCTTCATCCACGGCGCCCGCGGCTCCATCTTTGGATTCTTGGCGTCGCTGTCAAATCGTACTATCTGCGTGTCGTCCACGTAGCCGACGATGAATAAGTGGGGCTCCTCGAGGCCGGGCCGGGACACGGCGGTGCGGAAATACCTCAGGGAGTGGGTGCCTGGGGGAGGGAGGCGGCTGAGACCACCGATCACACACCCCGCGCGGCGCCCAGGTCGTGATTCTATGGGGTCGAAGGCGAGAGGAGGGGCGAGGGGACTGAGAAAGAGCTGCAGGAGGAGCAGGACCCGGAAGTCGGGATGGGAAGTGAAGGGCGGAAGATGGGGGGGGCAGGACTGGGCGGCGGGCCCCACCGAGGGTCCGATGTCCCCACCTGGCGTTCCCCTCACTTCTCTCTCATTAGAGGCCGTTTTTCTCCCGACCATAAACTCACCCGCCCATGTCTGCGAAAGAGCCAGAGCCCCCAAGAGCAGCAGGAGGAAAATACCAGATGCCATAACCCAAATACTGGGGCTCTACCGCGCCTACTCGTGGTTCTTCTGAGCCGACCTTGTAACCCGGAACCGTGGTGACGGTGATTGGCTGCTCTGGAAACTGGAAAGCCAATGAGAGTGAGAGGCGGGCCTACGTCATGTGTGTCCAGACAAAAGGAGCGGCCATAGGTTGCGGAAACAACAAACTCCAGGCGGTGGAGTCGGACCCGACTTATAGCGACCCCTCGTTGAGTTTCCGAGGCGGTACCACTACGGAAAGAGATTGCCCAACCTTCCTTCCAAGGAGTGGCTGGTGGGTTATGAAGCGTTAGCCTTCTGGTTAGCAATCAAAGACTTTAGGCACTATGCCACCAGAGCTCCTAGGTGCGTAAAGGAGAAGTGAAAGCCAAGGGGACAGGGAATCCCCAACACAAGCCCTCTCCACTCCGCGATCCAGTCTAAGAGCCAAACCCGGGTACTGAGACTTTGCCTTGAGACCTCTTCGGTTACACTGTTTCCTTGAGTCCTGGGCTAGGGCCTGCATTAGTCAGAGATTCTTGTTAGTTTCAGAATCCGTATATTGTTGTGTGCCCTGAAGTGGATTCATAGCAGCCCTAGATAACAAGAGTAGAACTATCCCATAGGGATTCCTAGGCTGCAGTCTTTGAAGGAAGGAGCTCTGGAGGCATTAAGCTGCTAACTAAAAGACTGGCAGTTCGAACCCTACAGCGAGCCCCGCCCCGGGAGAACAATGGGGCACTCTGTTTCCTTAAAGATTTACAGCCTTGGAAACCACATGGTGGGAGCAGTTCTACTCTCTTGTATAAGGCCACTATGAGTGGGTTTGGGCTTTGGAATCTTTAAAGGAACAGATCCCCAGGTCTTTTCTCCTGCGGAGCAGCTAGTGAGTTACAATAACCGACCTTTGGGTTAATAGCCAAGAGCTTAACCATTGTACCACTAGGACGCCTTAGAATTTCTACTCACTCTTACATATTACTGAAGAATCAAAGACATTTTATTTATATGGGTTATATCTACCGATACTGATTGTATGAGAAATTGAAACACTAAATTTAAAAAGTTCAACTACTAATAACCCATTAAACGTTAACAGAGATAATTTATTTTCATGAAAAAAAATTGTATTTTTCAAAATAAACCAATGACAAGAGGGAATAATTTTAAAATTTTGTACATCTCTTATCTGTGTCAGTAGAAGACTTTTGGATTCTCATATCTGCTTCTGTGATCTGTTATTTTGCTTTAGATGTATACCAAAAAATCCAATGTCACACAAATAAGAAGTTGGAAAATAGAGGAGTATTTTTAATAGCTTTTCCATGTAATTGTGAATGTTCATCTTTGATACTTTACTAAAGCTAAAGAAGTGGTAGTTTCTTAAGGGGTAGCTGTAATCAGAAACCCTATTATTGAATATTTCATGTTCTGTTCATCAACTCTCATAGGTCCATCTTGCACATTGAATGAATCTTGTACTAAGGCATGAGATTTTTTTTTCTTTAGTGATATATTGAATATGCAGATCTTCCAACATTGGAACAGTTAATTAAAAAATATCAAAAGTCACATTTGTTAGTATTACAACTGATCTCAGCAGAAAAATTTGTAAATTTTAGTAAGCTGTCATACTTGTGGTGGATACAAATTTTCCAATATTCTAATCTCTAGAGAAGTTCCATTTAATCACTGGTTTCCTTGAAGTGACAGGCTTACTAGTTCATTTGGAAGAAAGAGCTAAATATCCAAGACAGTTTCTCTGTCATCCTTCCCTTCAAGAAAAAAAAAAAGAAAAAGATATATAGAAAAGAGGCTTGTGCAGCTCACAGAAACTATTCTCCTTAAGACGAACATCACACTTTGGAATATAGAAGTGCTTTATATATTCTTCCCACCTCATCACAGATGAGATGAAAAAGATGTGGACTTGATGATGGTGATTTAACAGAGTTAATAATTTTTAATGCTTCAGTCAGTTCATATTTAAATGAAGCTGGTTTTGTTACTGTCGTTTATTTTTCCTGCAAGTAGGTGATGAATACAATTACTACTGCAGTTTGATGATACAGCCTTCATTTTTGCTACGTTCCAGCTGATTTATTTTCAGTACACATAATAACACAGTGAGAAAGACTAATTATTTCTTAGTACTGTTATGAAAACAGTTTTGACTTCATGGATCTTGTGAGGGGATCTCAGTGACCCCAAGAGTTGCACAGATCACACTTTGAGAACTGCTGTTTTGAGGAACCAAGGAGGCTCCTAAGTGGTCCAACCTCTTTGCCTCCTCTTTACTTCCCATAACGCCCTTCCCTGAGCCAGACTCTGCTTCCCAAAGCTTAGTTTAGACCTCTTCACATGGGCTCTTCTAGAGGAGAGTTTACTCCCTGGAAATTTAATGCCAGAGTGTCCTCAGTCAAAATAATGAAGTTGAGGTAATGATATTTTCCTTTTGGAACTGGGAACGTTTATGTCTGAAGGCACCAGATGGAGATTTACTCATGATGTGTTTTGGTTTTGTTACATACTAGCTTAGTGTATCCAAGACAATTGGAAATCTGATGTAATCTGTGTGAAAAATTACCTTTATTATAAATCAGTCTAACGGACCTGACTTGAGGTCTGTCTTAAGCTCAGTTCTCTAGAGAAGCAAAACCAGTGAAGCTTATACATAGAGAGATAAAGACATTTTTTTCTCCAACTAATAGCTCATGCAGTTGTAGAGGCAGAGAATTCCTAAGTCTGGGAGTCAGTTGTCAAGCTGGAGGCTTCTACTGACTTCCGTTGCTGCAGGGGCTGACAACCCTGAGATTAGCAGACAATATACTAGGCTGCTAGCTTTGGAGACTGACAAATCCAAGATTGGCAGGTAAGATGGCAGGCTGTTCATTCATAGATCGTGAAGGCAACCACCCCAAAATTGGCAGGCAATACCGCAGGCCACTGATTCAAATTCAAGAGGTCAGATGATGATGAGTCATATGCAACATCCAGATCATGCAAAAAGCCGGAGTGCTTTGCTAGAATGTTCATATATATCGGAAGTAGGCCACACCCCAGACAAAATTCCCTTTCAACTGATTGGCTCCTCATAACAGATCTTATCATGGGGGATGACAACATCAGAACTGCTAATCTACTGAGAATCATGGCCCAGCCAAGTTGACAGAAAACGTGAACTATCATAGCCCAGCCCTTGTCAACTTGGCACTTGTACATATCTCCTTAAACCATACATAATTTCTAAATAAAGACAATTATAGAATCATACTTGTGCCTAAAATGCTATAGCTAACACATTTACAATTGAAAATTCATTATCCCTATATACATCTTGTATTTTATAACTGAAGAAACCCAAAATATATTATGCACACATAGAAGGAAAAAATACTGATAACATTCACAGTCCTCGTTTCTGCAACTAGTCATGTGGTCATAGCTGGTATTTAGAATTACCTTCTTCTACTATCCATTCTGGGAGCTCTGGTAGCATAGCGCCTGAGGCACTTGACTGCTAACCAGAAGGCTGGCGGTTCAAACCCACCAGCCACTCCTCGGAAAGAAAGTGGGAAACCTACTTCCATAGTGATACCGCCTTAGAAACCCAAGGAGGGGTCGCTATGAGTCGGGTCCAATTTGATGGCACATAACAACAACAACACAACAACTATCCATTCCATATTCTCTTTGCCCTCAGCAAGCACCTTAACTGGTCACGTTCTTTTCCTGTTGGGGTGACCCAAATCTTCATTCCTGAAGGGTCTGGTCCATTAGTAGTCATATCAGAATTGTGGTGGTGTAGTTTTCTTCTGACTTTAATCACAGGGTATGCTAATATTAAGAGATGTCCTAAGGAATCTCTGGTATTCCATACATAGTCTTCTTTACCTCTATTATGTAACAGCAGCCCAAATTCCCCTTGGTAATCAGGATAAGTCACACCAGACAATACAGTAACTCCTTTCTTTGCTTGTGGACCCAGAGGCATGAGGAGCCCAAAATAGCTAGATGACATCCTTAACTTCCAGTTCAGTGGAATCAGTAGTGTGTCTTCAGGTAGGAATATTCTTCCCTTAGGGAACAAGACCTCAAGACCCATAGAGCACAGGGTTTCAGGGAAAGGAAGCAAAAAATTTGCTAGTGGGTCACTAGGGGTAATAGTGAGTGGTGCCACTCCCATTTTTACCCTATGGTTCCTGAACCTGTGAATCATGGATATTGGGAAACAGCACAATGTATTGGTCACTGGTTCAGACTCTATGTAGCCTCCTGGAGAACACTGTCCCAACCCTTCAAGGTATTGCCACCTAGGTGGTGCTGCAATTGTGTCTTTAGTAGGCCATTCAATCTTTCTATAAACCCAGCTGCTTCAGGATGATGAGGAACAAGGTAAGTCCAATGAATTCCATGAGCATGGGCTCATTGCCACACTTCATTTGCTGTGAAGTGAGTCCCTTGATCCAAGACAGTGCTGTTTGGGATATCACGATTGTGGATAAGCCATTCTGTCAGTCCATGGATGGTAGTTTTGGCAGAAGGACTGTGTTCAGGGAAGGCAACTCCATATCCAGAGTAAGTGTCTATTTCAGTAAGAACAAAATGCTGTCCTTTCTGTGATGGGAGTGGTCTAATGTCATCAACCAGCCACCAGGTTGCTGGTTTGTCACCCTGAGGAATGATTTCATATTGCGGACTCAGTGTTAGTCTCTGTTGCTGGCAGGTTGGGCACTCGGCAGTGACCATGGCCAAGAGGGCCTCAATGACTGCTTGCCCACGTTGTAGAGCCCATGCATAACCTCCTTCCCTGCCATCATGGCCACTTTGTTCCTCAGTCTGTTAAGCAAGGATATGAGTGGCTGGGTTGAAAGAGGATGGCTGGTTTCACAGAACATGTCATCCTGTTCACTTGACTGTTAAAATCCTCTGCCAAGGTCACCCTTTGGTGAGCATTCACATGAGACCCAGATATCTTCACTTCTTTGACCTATTCAACCCCTTCC